ATGCTACAGCTTGAGCCACATCCCCAGCCCTTGTTGTTTGTATTCTTGATAGCTGCCATTCTGACTGGAGTGAGATGAAATGAAATCTTAGAGTAGTTTTGATTTGCATTTGCATCTAATTTCTGGAGATGTTGAGCATTTTTTATATATTTGTTCATTGATTTTATACCCTCTTCTGAGAAGTGTCTGTTCAATTCCCTGGCCCATTTATTGATTGTTTTTTTTTCCTTTGGTGTTAAAAGTTTTTGAGTTCTTTATAAATCCTAGAGATTAGTGCTCTATCTGATGTACTTGTGGTATAGATGTGCTCCCATTCTGTAGGCTAGAATCACCTCACTGATTGTTTCTTTTGCTGAAAAGAAGCTTTTTAGTTTGAATCCATTCCATTTATTGATTCTTGGTTTTAATTCTTGCACTGTAGGAGTCTTATTAAGGAATTTGGGGCCTAATACGACACAATGGAGATTTGGGCCTACTTTTTCTTCCATTAGGCACAAGGTCTCTGGTTTAATTCCTAGGTCCTTGATCCACTTTGAATTGAGTTTTGTGCATGGTGAGAAATAGAGATTTAATTTCATTTTGTTACATGTGGATTTCCACTTTTCCCAGCACCATTTGTTGAAGTGGCTATCTTTTCTCCAATATATGTTTTTGGCATCTGTGTCTAATATGAGATAACTGTAATTATGTGTGGGTTTGTCTCTGTGTTCTCTGTTCTGTACCATTGGTCTACAGGTCTATTTTGGTGCCAATACCATGCTGTTTTTGTTACTATTGCTCTGTGGTATAGTTTAAGGTCTGGTATAGTGATGCCACCAGTTTCACTCTTCTTGCTAAGGATTGCTTTGGCTATTCTGGGTCTCCTATTTTCCAGATGAATTTCATGATTGCTTTTTCTATTTCTATGATGAATGTCATTGGGATTTTGATGGGGATTGCATTGAATCTGTTTAGTGCTTTTGGTAGTGTGGTCATTTTGACAATATTAATTCTGCCTATCCAAGAACAAGGAAGATCTTTCCATATTCTAAAGTCTTCTTTAATTTCTTTCTTTAGTGTTCTGTAGTTTTCATTGTAGAGGTCTTTCACCTCCTTTGTTAAATTGATTCCCAAGAATTCAATTTATTTATTTATTTATTTTTGAAGTTATTGTAAATGGGGTGATTTTCCTAGTTTCTCTTTCTGAGAATTTTTCACTGATGTACAGAAATGTCTTTGATTTATGGATGTTGATTTTGTATCCTGCTACTTTGCTGAATTCATTTCTTCTAGGAGATTTCTGGTGGCATTTTTTGGGTCTTCTAGGTAGAATCATATCATCAGCAAATAGTGATAATTTAAGTTCTTCTTTTCCTATCTGTAACCCTTTAATTTCTTTCATCTGTCTAATTGCTTTTGCTAGAGTTTCAAGAACTATGTTGAATAGAAGTGGTGAAAGAGGGCATTCCTGTCTTGTTCCAGTTCTTGGGAATGCTTTCAATTTTTCTCCACTTAGAATGATGTTGGCCTGGGGCTTAGTATAGATAGCTTTTATGATGTTGAGATATGTTCTTATTATCCCTAGTTTTTGGAGTGTTTTGAACATGAAATGGTACTGTATTTTGTCAAATGCTTTCTCTGCATCTATTGAGATGATCATATTATGATTTTTACCTTTGAATCTATTGATGTGATGAATTACATTTGTTGATTTCTGTATTTTGAACCACCCTTGCATCCCTGGGTTGAACCCTACTTGATTGTGGTGCACTATCTTTTTGATATGTTTTTGTATTTGATTTGCCAGAATTTTATTGAGAATTTTTGTGTCTATATTTATTAGAGATATTGGTCTTAAGTTTTCTTTCTTTGATGTGTATTTGTCTGGTTTTGGAATCAGGGTGATATTGGCCTCATAGAATGTGTTTGGAATTATTCCCTCTTTATCTCTTTCATGACATAGTTTAAGGAATATGGGTGTGTGTTCTTCTCTAAAGGTCTTATAGAACCTTTTCTGTATCCATCCAGATCTGGGCTTTTCTTGGTTGGTAGGCTTCTGATGGTGTCCTCTATTTCCTTGCTTGAAATTCATCAATTTAAATTGTGAATATCATCCTGATTTAGTTTGGGCATATCATATATCTCTAGAAATTTGTCAATGCCTCCAACATTTTCTATTTTATTGGAGTACAAGTTTTCAAATTAATTTCTAATTATCTTCTATATTTCTGTAGTGTCCATCATAATATTTTCCTTTTCATCACAGATGTTTTTAATTTGGGTTTTCTCTCTCCTTCTCTTTATTAGCATGACTGAGGGTCTGTCAGTTTTATTTACTTTTTCAAAGAACCAACTTTTTGTTCTGTCAGTTTTTTTCAATTGCTTCTTTTGTTTCAATTTCATTGATTTCAGCTCTGATTTTCATTATTTTCTGTCTTCTACTCCTTTTCGAGTTGTTCTTTTTCTAGGGCTATGAGATATAATATTAGGTTATTTATTTGTTGAATTTTCCTTCTTTGAAGGAATGAACTCCATGCAATGAAGTTTTGTCTTAGAACTGCCTTCATAGTATCCCAGAGATTTCAATATGTTGCAGTTTCCCTGCTTCTACTCTTTTCCTTTCTTCAGTTGATCCTCTCTCTACCTCTCTCATCAAAACACAAGGCATTCCCTTATTGCCCCGTCCTATATAAGATGCCAGAAAGAAAAAAAAAATACATGAGTAATAGAAAAACAAACATCTTAGGTATTAGGATGAAATGAGTAGCCACAGAGATCTTTGTAAACTCTTGAATCTCCGATCATTTAAAACATATTTGAATTTTTAACTCTTTGTCATAGTATACAAGAGAGGTGATATAATCATCGACTGCTTCTCCAACTTTCTAAAACTTTCCCCTTCTTTAGTACTATCTGCTCATACCTATTTTAGTTCGTTGAAGGCCATTGGGGGGGGGTTTGCTGGAACTCCCTCCTCCTTTTCTAATTTTCTCATTATTCTTCTTTACAATTCAGTTTATAATTTTCTCCATAGAGAACTTCTTCACTATGCAATCTAAAGTAAGTCTCTCCTATTAGTTTCCATTAATAATTCTTTTCCTCTTGGTTTCTCAGTAAGATTTATAATTATTCTTCCCTATTAAAAAGTCAGTGACAAAAGTTAGAGATCATGCTTTTCCTTTTATGATCTGTAACATAAATTACATGAATCCATAAATTCAGGACTAATATGGGGTGTAGAAGTTCATTCAATATTTTTTGAATGAGCACATGATCTCCAAATGGTAAATCCTCTCTTCCAAAATAAAAATTTCATTCTCTGCTTTCTGCTACAAGTGTTTTTTAAAAGTCCTCCGATATGATTGTACATGCCTATACTGATCTATCCATTAGAGTTGCTTATGAGGTCACCAGTTTTCACAGGTATAGTTCTTGTTTTTCCATTAAAAACTGTTAGGATATTATCAGTAGAACTTGATGAGGGTAATAATGTCTGTCTCATTCCACCATCTTTCTCATACCTACACCCCCCTCATCCCCTCCCTTCCCTCTGTACAATCCAAAGTTTTGAGTTCTTTATATATTCTGGATATTAATCCCTTGTCCATATTTGTTTCTGCATAAGAAACAACCAAATTTTCTTTTATTTTTGCAGTATATTGTTTGATAATTTTAAGTCATATTTTCTTTATCCTTCATTAAAAAAAAATATAAACAGATTCTGTTAAGAGAGACTGCCTGAAGACACCCAGTTACTGAGTGCTTAGACTAATTCTACATTTTCAGACCATGACCCTACTTTTGGTCTCCATAGAATCGTCACAGTTTTTAAGTTATATATATCCTTCTTTCCTTCCTTCCTTCCTCTCCTCTTCTTCTCCTCCTCCTCCTCCTCCCTCATCTTCTCTTCCACCTCCTTTTTTTTTTTGTCAAAACACGTTGTTTTCCTACTTCAGCCCCACTTCCACAGTGAGATGCCAGAAAGAAAGAAGCATGAATCATTAGAAAAATAAAAACTGACTATTTCAGATATGGAATAAAATGACTGCTTTTTCATATAACAAATTTTCATTTTTTTTGCTTTGAATCATTTCTTTCCACTATTTCATAACAACAACCATAATACCAACAGTAATAATGGAGATGGGAGACTACATGGGGGCAGGAGTAGAGAGTACCAAGGAGGACTAGAAAAATAAAATAAAGCATGAAGTTCTCAGTAGTCCATATTTGTGAATATATTTTTTTGGTTAAGGTTTTTGGAAGAGGTGAGAACTTCTCAATATATGTGATGCTTGTGGCAGAATTGGCACTGAAGGATGGATGCCAAGCCAATGACAGTGTTTCTGGGATGGAAACAATATTGATAAATTATAGAAGGCAACCATATGTTGGAACCTTGTTGATTAATTTTGGATTTCATTTCAAGTAACTCTTCTTTTTAGAAACAATCCTCAAATTGATCTCCTAGGTTTGAAATTAGCCAACTTGGAGTGGTTTTGATTTCTCTGAGTAGAAAGAAAGCAGGGGAAGGAAGTAGAAAGAGATAAAATAATGGTTAATTACAAAAAGGTGACATCATAAGTACCAAATAAAAGTTCTCAAAATATTTACTTATTTGCATTTGAAATATTTTTTATCATTTTTATTTTTGTAAAGAAAACAGATCTCTGAATGTATATTTATAGAAATTGAAAATAAGGATATTCTTTTCATGATGCAAGATGGATTTTGGTTTATCCTGGCTTTCCTTGAAAGTAGTTGTATTTCAAATGGTTTATTTTCTTGAATTGCTTAGAATATTGTTTTTCCTGCTTCTGTGATTTTCTTGTGACAAAATTTAAGAAAGATTGTAGAGGTCATATCCTTCTGCCAAATTTTTATTATTAGAGGAAACTCATTACATTTTTTCTCATAAATTTTTTTCTTTTCCTCTTTCTTCAGAAATAAAACTAAAACTTAAAAATCCTGGAGTTTGTCTTCCTATCTTTCCATGTGAACCCCTACTCTCTCCCACAGTCTAACCATGATACTTTCTATTATGATGTGATGCAACTTGGGGGACCCACACACCAGCAGTAGCACTATGCGCTTCAGACTTTCCACCTTCAAAATGGAAACTAAACAAAACTCTTTTCTTTATACTCAGCCTCAGATATTTTGTTGTAGCTATGAAAAACTGATTAATACACTTAAATTTTCTCACCTATCATATTTCATCAGAAACCCTCTTTCAAGATTCTAGTAGTCTATTTCCTCCTAGGAAACTGAAGCTCTCTCTTTTTTTAATAAGGTCCATCTCTGAATTATGAATCCATATTCTTCTTTGATGTTCCCCATATATAAATAAGTAGGTGCAGGCTCCATTTTGCCATAGTATAGAAGCTCGATCTATATGATCAGCTTGCCCATCCTGCCTCTGCTTTTGAAAACATTTTCTGTGTCCTATGAGTCTTTCCTTGTTTTATTTTTCTTAGATTTTATTTCTCCACCAAAGGGAACCCCATTCTTACCACCCACATTGGACACATCCCTTTATCCCTGTTATTGTTGGTATCCTCCCCCACAAACTATTATATTAATGCAGAAATATCCAGAGGCCAAATGATTGTATAATGAGATAACCTAGTTTGAAAGGACTGACTGATGGTAATTGTAAACAGATGGACCATGGATGGAGGAGGTGAGTCATTTCAGGCTTGCCCTAGAAGGGTTTATCTTCCCTGTAGTCTCTTGTCCCTCCCTCTCTCTCTTTCCTGGCTGCCTTGAATGGAGCACCAATTCTTTACGCCCTTCCACTATGATGTTCTGAATTACCATGGGCCCAGAGCAGTGGACTCAGCTGACCATAGATGAAATCTCTGGAACTATGAATCAAAATAAAATTCCCCTCCTCTAAATTGTTCTTGTCAGGTATTTTGGTCATACATAAAAAAGCTAACATAACCTCTAAACCAGCTGATCAGACAGCTTCAAGTTAATAGGTTATGTTAGAAAATTTTCCTATTATAGCAATGGGTTATTTAAAAAATCTTATAATGTAATTAACTCCCCTTGTGCTACATAAAAGACCATATTTTCTATTCCAACTGACAAATATAAGGATTGGCATATTAAGTATACAGGAAAGCTTAGATTTTCAAAGTTAGAAGTAAATTAATTCTCTGTGTGTGTATGTGTGTGTGAGTGTGTGTGTGCGCTACATCCTTAGCCTATTTAAATTGCTAATTTCACTTACATTAGTGGATCTCCAAATAGCATGTAAGCCAACTATCATTTTTGTTAAACAATGATAATATATATTATAGAAATTTTTCCCAGTTTGATAGATTTATGTGTCATATTAAAAGCTCAAAGCTGATTTTGAGCAAATATTTATAGTGTATATAATATACTTCATAAAAGTATAATATACTTCCTCATATAATGCTTATAATAAAATTTATTTTGCTTCTCTCGTTTCATCTAATACATTTGAAATTTTTATCTTTCAGAACACATAATTTTTCTTTACTAAAGGAATATTATGTTGTGATGCTTTCTTTTATAAGTTTTTTTAAATCTCTTATTGACTTTAGTTTTTAAATCCATATATTACATTTTGGTAAAACATAACTACACCTGAAAAAAATTTTCTCCAAAAATATTTATAAATTCTGAAATCAATATAAGTTCTATCAGGGTTGTGATTGTGGCTCAGTGGTAGAGTGCTCATCTAGCACATGTGAGGTGCTGGATTTGATCCTCAGCACCACAAAAAAATAAATAACTATAACTAATACATATATATATGTGTGTGTGTGTGTTTTATGTATATATAATATATATATATATATATTGCTTATAGAAACATTAATTGACCACTTACTCTCAGAATCTGAGGTTATATAAAACAAGATCATTGTTTTCTTACTTATTGCCTTCTATGCAGAGTGCTGAGCTCTATGAGAGAAAGAACTTTGTTCTATTCACTCTTGGATTTCTAGCTTAGAATATCTCTTGGAACATACTAGGTTGCCAATAAAAATTCACTTACTTAAAAATGCTTTTTTGCATATAATGTGCCAAATGCCTGGGCACTGGGGAAGCAGAAGTGAATAGGCCAAAGTCCTGGCTTTGGAGTTTATTTTCAAGTAGGGAAAGAGAAGTATTAAATTATAAAGGATGTGAATATGTAAATAAATATGTTACATGTCTGATGTTGGTAAGTGCTAAGAAGAAAATAAAGTAGGGTAAGGGAACAGAAAGCTGCCTGAGGAGACAATTCCTGCCTTAGCAATAGAAGTCAGTGAACGCCTCTCTGAGATGGCAAAACATGAGTAAATGTTACTGGCCCCGTGCCACTGCCATCAGGAATACTGTTGGAAAGACCTGACCTTTGATCATAAGTGATCATAATCTGAGGATGTAGTCAGACATATTACATGTTGAGTATGTCTACACGTACAGTGCTATCACAACAAAGTCTGGAAGGTGAAGCAGTCAGGTTTTTTAGCAAATAATGTATATGGTCATAAGGTTGGATGGTGACTGTAGGTAGGTTGGAACTGAGTGTAGACTGTAAAGATTCTGACAATTTTGAGGGCTTCAGCTAATAGATGGTAGGTAACTGATGTTAGTCTTTAAACAGAGAAAGAGAATGATCAGATTTGGATTCTAGAAAAATAACTCATAATAGAATGAAGGTTGGGTTATAGAATGTATGTTTAGGTGAGCTGATATTTTGATAATGTGATGTTGAAACTCTGTTGGGTTACACCTTTTTTGCACCAAAAAAAGTGCTTTCAAAGATTTAATTTTTTTTAGTTGTTGGACCTTATTTTATTCTTTATTTATATGCAGTGCTGAGAATCAAACCCAGTGCCTCACACATGTGAAGCAAGCACTCTACCACTGAGCCACAAACCCAGCCCTTAAAGATTTTTTAAATGTAGAATGGAATTACTATATGAAATTATGAGAAAGAAGATTAAATAGTATTTAATGATAAGAATTATAGTTTATATACTCAGATTAAGAGAAAAGTAAGAATAAAGATTTATAATCTGAGATTTATGGAACAGGTATAATCAATATAGGAGAAACAACCCAATATATCTGTGCATACTTGTGTTTCCCTGTTTAATCCACATGGTGTCATTTTTTACATGCATTTTCTGAGAGTAGTTATTTTTCATTCATAGGCAGTGGCGATGACTCATTTTATCCCTTTTGGTTATTGAAGGCACTTTTTTCATTCAGTTGATTTTCTGATTCACCAGACAGTGTGTATCAAATGTTATTGTCTAGTTGGAATTTTTCTGAGGAAAAATGCTTAAGTAAGTTTATCAGTGTTGTTTATACTATCCTCACATACACAATTTTATTTAGCAAAATCTGAACTTGATGAGGAGACTGTATTTACAAGGGCTGCCATAACAGATTATCACAGATGAGGTGGATTAAACGAAAGAAATATATTGTCTTAAAGTGCTAGAGGGTTTCAGAAGTTCAAGGTCAAGGATAGGCAGGGTTAATTTTTTCTTAAGGTGAAAGATAGATATATTCAGACCTTTTTCCTTGGCTTAAAAGTGGCAGTCTTATCCCCGTGTCTTCATATCATTTTCCTTCTGTACATGTATGTATCCATAACACTAGTCCTATGGAATAGGATCCATATGGTGACCATATTTTAACTAATTACCACTTTAAAGTCCCCATCTCTTGAAATGATCACATTCTCTGGTACTGATCACATTTTCTGGAACTTCGGTATATGAATTGAGTGAGTAGGGGAGAGGGGTCACACAATTCAGCCCATAATTTGAGACTAAATGTTCTTTCCCTCTTCAGATGTCCAGGTCCCCTAAAGTGGAAACTTTAGTTCAATAGATTTAACTCTTTTCTCTCAATCGAATTCTTGGTTTCATACTATCATTATTGTCCTCATTAGCAGGGCCATTCAATAACTG